CTCGCAGCGCTGAGCACACTTTACAGATGTGGCGGCGATGTCTGCGCATTAAAGTGCCAGGTGAATCCTTCTTTTCACGGTATTTAAACTCCGCGATCTTTTCAAGCGAGTGGTTGGCATTTGACGGTGTCGGCGGCGTGTTTGCATTCCTTCTGACGGGTGGAACTTGCGTTGGAGGGTCTTTTGGACGCCGACGGATTGTAAACCCAGGAGATGGCAAGGTGGCTACTTGGACCGGGCTCTGTTGATTCTTAGCTGGAGCTAGCACGCTTTTCATCTGCTCCTTAAGAGTTTTAACTTCCTGCTGAAGCTCCTGGACTTGAGTAGTGAGCATTTTAATCTGCTCCGTCGGCGACATAGCTTTCTGTGGCTCTAATGTTAATGGGAAGACGTAAATCGGTGCCCATGTCATGTTCGCCACGTCCGACTTAACCAGCACTTCCAACTGCAGTACTGTGTCCCCCTCTCCACGAGTGAGATGTATACCCTGCTTGGTTGAGTCTCTTAAACTGGTCTGTCAAGATTAACATGCCCGTTCAGCCTATGAATCTGTATTCCACTGTGAAAATTTAAGGCACTCACCGCCACATATTGCAGAACTGTATTCGGAGGTAGCGTCGCCCCCTCCAGCGCATGAGCACCAACATCAGTCATTTCACACGTCCAGCATCTCTTAGACGCCTTGTGCTCCAGTCGGATATACCCCACACCCTCCACACGCTTGATACTGAAGCGGAAACTCTCACCCGGGAACGCCCCGAACTCGGCATCACCAAACACTTCCTCCATGATTGTACCGTAATCCGTACTTATTTGAAATAAATCGCATCGCAAATAGCGGCTCTAAAATAATCCTAATTTTTAGATTTCACCTCCAAAAATGCATATTATCTCAGGACGGAAAAAGTCTAAGCTTAAAATGTCACCGGTTTTGTGTTGGACCATTTTCGTAACCTGGTAAAAGTGTCGATCGCCTGTGCGGCATGATGCAGCTTCAATGGACGCAAAAGCCACGACGACGGACGGATGAAGAGTTAGCGAGGATTGAGGCTGAGCAGGCTGCTGAGAATCGTATGTGGGAAGCAGCGCAAAAAGCAAAAGAGCAGCCTCCACTACCCAAAAAACAAAAAGAGATCCTACTTCCTAAAGTGACGGAAAGCGGTCAAATAAAAGGATTGCAGTGCTTCGTGAAAGCCACAGCGCAAGCGTTTAATACGTTGGAAACAAACGCAGCACAAAATTCTTCACGCGTGGCATTTCAACACTGTAACCAGGTGACATCTCAAGTCCTGACTCTGGTACTAAAAAACCACAAGATTGACGAAGCTACTGCGTGTTTGTATCGGAACACCACGGTTCAGTTAAGAAACATGTAGTCGAAAACCTGGAGATAAAGATCTTGACTACACTCATGGAAAAGCTCGAAAAAGTGATAAAGTTGTCTTGTACCAAGGTGGGATGTCCTGCACTATCGGATCCTGTGTTGCAGTCTACCTGGCTTGACCTGAAGAATCATGTGGGTGGTCGTGGAGATGACAAATTGTTGGCAAAGCAGCAATATATACGCTCTTTTAAGCTACAAAACAAGCAAGGTAAAGACTGCTGGCCGATTTTAAAGAGGAAATGGAAGCACATCGGAAACGTGACGCGACTGGATCCCCATTACGATCTGAAGAATTCTGGAACATTTTTGCTGAAGTCGGTGAAGTGCTGGCCGATTGGATTGGAAGTGCACCATCTTTAAGTGCGAAGAAAGCAAGATTATGAGGTCAATGTTTCAGGCTCTCGATCACAAGATGCGGATCGAGTACTTTCCTCACGGTGTGCAATTGGGATGGCTCATTGATCCAAAGAACAAAATCATGTACGAATACAAGCGATACGCCCAAGGAAATCGTCTTGTTCGACGCTTTGGCAATAGCGCGTGGAGAGATCTTGATGGTGGTACCGTTCTTCCTGGCTTCACTCTTAATTGCGAAGATTTGGACGATGTGTTGAACCAGGAATCCGGATCGTCATCGGAAGAAGAAGTTGATTTGACTTGCCCAGAGCATGGATGCACAGAACGATTCAACAGATGCGGTGCGTTTGTTGCTCATGCTGAATGGCACCGTGCTGAAAGTGCTAGAGCTCGACGTAGAGCAAACCGTGCGAACCGTTAATTCAAGTGAAGTTTTTCACGTTAGTAGACACAACGCTTTTTGATATCTTGGATGTCATAAGAATAAAAAAAATAGAACATTATGCCGACAGTTTTTCATTTTTTATTTTTTAAATCTGATAAATATAAAATTAATAATATACTACTGATGATGTACTCACCTGAACAATACCTTGCTAACAAAGAGCGAATCAAGGCCGCACAAAAGTGCTATTATCAGCGCACACGCGACACTCGCTTGTCATACCAAAAGAGCTACGACGATAAGAATAGACGGCAGATCCGTGCTCGCAAGCGTAAGGCCAAAACCGAACTTAGCGAACCTGAAAGTGAACTTAACAATGAAACCGAACATAATTAAATATTATTTTTTTCAAAAAAAGAGTCAATCCCAATATAGTCAATGACAATGGCTTACAACCTCCAAAACGGTATACGTCAAATATTTAAATGAATTAAATCCAAAATATTTTGTAAATGACTAAGATATAAAGTCAAATAATTATAAAGTCATATCTACGGAGAATAATATAGCCAAGCATATATAGGCAACATGTTTGCATACGAACTCGAAGGATTAAAGAGATTAAATATCCAATCTATTAAATGGGGTAGTAGCTACCGTGTTAAGGTGCGTGGTAGAACGGGCAAGATGGTTTATATTAGCAACGTTTCTCGTCTAATCAACAAGAGATTAGTAGCTAAGTAGTACAAAGTTTCGATTGAAACCCCTTGAGAAACACTTGTCGCCCGACTACAAGGCTGATCCTAAGTACCGTTTTTACAGTGGTAATCACATGGAATCACATTTGTACAAGGGTGTTGAGCCTTCTGATTTCTACAACAAGCTCGAGAACGTCCTTTCGACTCAAACGAGTGTGTTTAAGATACATATTGCTCTCGGGTACGAACTTGTCAGCAAGACCGATCCTGACGACACTCGCTACTTCTACCCAAATCTCGCTAATACTAATGTATTTAATAATCCTATCGCTATCAATAGCAAAGCTGATATTCAAAAGAAGGTGATTTCGGAAATCCGTTCTATGGAGTTGGCTGACAAACTGAATTACCCCAGCTCTGGATATAAGCTCAAGGCTATCACTGCGTTCAAGATTTTCCTCTACCATCGCGAGCATTCTATCGGAGATAGCGAAGCTGTCATCCCTAAGATTATTCGCGAAAACAAGCATGTGATCAACTTTCCCAAGACCAACAACAAGTGCGTCTTCTACTGTATCGCCTGGCATACATTCCAGAGCCCTAAAAAGGGTCCTCGAAGAATTCAGGCTCAGGTGAAGGAGGCATTCAAGCGTTACTGTTCTTTCAAGGGGATTAAATATTCTTTGAGCCTGTTTAGGAGTTTCAAGCACATTAACCTACTGCAGCTCGATGAGGTTGAAGACCGCTTCCAACTTGGTATTAACGTATATAAGATGGATGCAGTTTCTGGAAATGTAGAATGCATTCGTAGATCGGACAAGGGGTATGAAGCTATGGATATTTTATCGTTCGAGAATCATGCTCTCTACACCAAGAACATCGATATGCCTCAGGCTAAGTATCAATGTCCTAAGTGTGACATGGTTTTTGTCAGTGCTGAAAGCCTTAAAAACCACAAAAAGAATCAGTGCGAACTCGTGAATATCGAAGCTTCCCAGCTGAGCCAACTATCTACAAACCAGCTCAGAACGCAATACGATCACTGCCTACGAAGTATTCAATCAAGAATGCTGACCAGTACATCGATCACTTCATCGTGTATGACTTTGAGGCCATCCTTAAGCCTATCGCGACTCAACGCGGAGAAAATACTGTCTTCACGAACGAGCACATCCCGATGTCTGTATCAGTAGCTGATAGTTTAACCGAGGAGGCGCGTTGCTTTGTAAATGATGATCTGAAGATGCTACTTATGGATATGTTCAAATACATCGGTGGTGTATCCGTGAAGATCAAGCAGTACAATGTCAATAAGTACAAGTCGCTTTTACAGAAAAGCATCATCGCTCACGGTCTGACAGGTATGGAAATTCCAGGAGTCAATCTTGGTAAGATCTACAAGATGTCTGATGTCGAGGGTTGGATTGAACAAGGAAAGTATGCCAGCTTCTCTGACTTTCATAGCAGTCTTGGCTTTGGTAAGCAAAGGTCTGATTACGGGGAGCTAAAACAGCAGATTGATCAGGTACCAGTATTCGGTTTCAATTCTGATCGATACAATATAACTTGATTAAAAAGGATTTGTTTGCCGTTATTGGTACCGATAACATTAAATCTGCCATCAAGAATCCCAGCTACATGAGCATTGCTACATCAGACATGAAAATGCTCGATATTAGCAATTATGTACCAGCTGGTACCAGCTACGATAAATTATACTAAGGCAAAGCGAAAATTTGGCATGACACTCGAGCACTTGAATACATTGCTGCAAAACCAAAAGTATCTGTGTGGTCTATGCTACTGCCAGCTAACCACTGATAGCGCTTCAGCTGATCATGTCAATAATAATAATCTTAGCCAGATCGACGGCAACATCTTGATCATTCATGACAGGGGTGTTGTTGATACCTATATCAATTACTGAAGGCTTTGCTTCGACGCTAGTATCAACCATCATCGGTTTAATATTTACTTCGTGAGTAGTTGATACCTCAGGGTTTGTCTGGGAGTATTCATTAATCAGCGTTTTTTAAGGCCTCAGATGGCTCGAATGTTGAGTCTGTCTGAGTTGATTCAGTTGCTTTCTTAGCAACAGTTGTAATTCCATTCGAGATATCAGTAGCCCACGAAGCGTCTTCATACATATCACGCTTCGCTTTAGCTTGACGAACTCGACGCTGAGCTCTTTCAATAAGCTCCTGTCGTTTTGCTCTCTCTGAGCGATGGATTGAAATTTGGAAACGTCGTATCAATGTTTTGTGAGCTATAAAATATGAGTACTCAAATTACCAACAGCTCGGCATAACTTAGTCATGGCGGAAAGGTAAGTAAGAATGACAGATACGGTTTCGCTCATTGAGAAGATTGTAATAACGGTCTTTAATACAATGGAACGGGACGCCAAAGATTACTCCCAATTCATGCTTGTATTTTGCTTGGCTACCGTTTTGCGGAAATTTGAAGCTGCATCAAGATTAAGCAACTCATTCTTGATTCGACTAACCTCGTGAATGGTCCATAGCTTTCGCCGAAGCTTTGCAAGCTCACAATCCTTTTCTATACAATGAGGACACCTCTTTAACTATATTTATATCTATATATCAAGTCATATACTTCTCAAATCTTAGAAAAAAATATAGAAATAAATATACATGAGCAGGTGCTTAAGAGTATGTCTCTATTTTATTTATTATCATGCTAGCTGGAGCTCTTTTTTTCTTCCAGTACTCCTTCTGAAGAGTTGATCTCCTCTTCTTATTGATTAACCGCAAATTATCTTGTGGCTCCCAAGAGTCAGACTCATTACCAACCCACCTAACTAAATATTTGAACTTACCCGATCGCATCTTTTTGTGTTCTAAGATCTTCTCGGCTTCTAAAATATCACCCCCCTGTTAATTGAGGCATCTATGGTCTCTGTTTTAACAAATTTAAGATTATTTGGTGCCTTGTAGAAATATGACCATTTTTGAACGGATTTGGACTTGGTAGACATCTATTCCAACGATTTTATAAACTGATTTGCTTCATCGAGCAGCTTTTTTTTTTTTTTATCAAATGGCTGCCTCTTGAGACGGTATAATACGCTTGATCCGACCTCAAACTCCTTCTCAATTCTATCAGCTTCCACTTGATTATGACTCAGTTCCGCATCCATTACTTTGCCTTTTGCTTCATTTGGGGTCATACCAATTGAGCGGTGAAACGGGGTATTGTAGTTTTCGATAACATCGGCAATAACCTTTCGCGTGATTCTGCTGGGAGACATTTTAGTTAGTCTCTTCTTTAACGTTCTGTTGAATCACTCGATTTTTCCCATTGTACCATGATCACCGGGATCGTTGTTGTAGTGCTCAATTTTCTTGGATTTGAAGAATTCTTGAACCGTTGAGTTCGTGAACTCGCTACTATTATCCGATGTCAGGATATCAACTTTGTGGAAGGCGAACAAACGCTTTAAGGGCTGCTAATACAATTGGCACAGTCTTATCAACCTTGAGTTGATATTAATAGCTGTCAAAATTGGTCGCTTCTCCCAAAACGCAAGATTGATTTCCCAAGATTTGGGGTTATGCGAAGCTTTTTTTTGAATCCATCGAATCGCTTCTTCTGCTCCTGGAATCGTTAAATATCGGTCTCACTGGAATACCAACCCTTTACGATTTTGAGCGTTATCTTAGAATCTAATTCTTTTGCCTTCTGATACAATGTTTGAGCTCCGATAAAACCGGTTTTGGGGTTATAGTAGAATTTCTTTAATAGCGCGCCCATGATCTATGTTTACATTAAAAAATCCCAGTGGTTAAATCTCCAGTGGTTCAGTCGTGATGCCATCATCTAGCACTCGACGTTTGTCATAGTAGTAGTTGAGCGCTGTTTTGTTTTAGTATAGGTGACGATAGACTTGGCTTCTTTCGATAGTCTGAGCCCCTTGTTTGTACCTTGTAGCGTGATGCGATCGCGTATAACAGTTTCATATCCGTCAGGGCTAAGGACATGCTCATTCCGACCACGACACTGCTGCACACCCTTTGCTAAAACTTTGACCTTGAAAGATTCGTCGGGTAGATAGCAAATATAGTTCTTAATTGATAGTGAAACCATAGCATCGCCTGACCATTCATGCTTGAACAGACCAGGGGTGCGTCGATCAAACTTAGCTACCTCTGTGATGTTGTCACGTTGAAACCAATCGTATCTATGCTCTTTGAAGTGGGCACGTAGCTCAGGTTTAATACAGTCTTGAAACGGGTTCTCACTGCTGAAAGCGATATACGCCGAATCAGTGTCCATCTCCTGATACTCGAAGTCAGAGCGATCGAAGTAGAACTGAAGCATGCATAGCTGGGCCAGCTGGTACATGGCAATCGACAACTGGAAGGGGTTCTTGTTATTAAGCCGCCGTTTTTTCATGGTGATTTCACAGACGTCAATAAGCTGCTCGAGACCATGGAACGTAAAGTGTTCGACCTTGTTCTTAATAGCTATGTCGCTCGACTCATACTTAACCTCTTTATGCTTGCTCATGTCTATTCCAGATCGACCAGAAGCACTGTTACCTACCAGTTTTATCATAGCTTTGGACTTATCGACGTCTCCCTCTCGTCGAGCATTTGATACAGCCTCCATAAATGGACCAAACGCCTTGTGAGAGCTGGCCTTGACAAAGTTGGTGCATACCGTGAGAAAGGTACCACTTGAGCAAAGGGGTGCAGATGAGAATCTTTTTACCAAAGTAGCTACCAATTAACTTGCGAGCAGGCTTAGAGCGATTTGATGTACGGGCCTGGCTGTAATCGAACATGTGCTTATCAATGACACTCTCGTCGGTGCAATCGATTAGCACATTCTTGAAAATGGGGTCATTTCACTAAACTAGTATTTTAGATGGTCTGGAGTACGAATATCGCATTCAAGAAAGCCAAATATTTTATCGGCGTTGATGTCGTCGATGGTACCTTCATACGCTTCAACAGTAGTCAATCGACCGCATGGCATCTCATTACGAAGATCCCAAAGATACAGAGCGTTAGCATCGTATCCGATAATTTATTTTACGGACATTACCACCGCGGATTTTGGTTTCATTACGCTTAGCGTAGTGATTAAAGATCATGGATGGACCTCCGACGATGTTGGATTTCATCTTACAGTAGGTATATTTTTCCTCTCGATCAATAGAATATACCAGTCTGTCCGAATTGAACTCAAGCAACTTCTTACACCGAATTCCCCGAGGGGTATATCTTTACGAGCTGAGTTGCACTTCACACAGCTGATCAAGATGTTGCCGTCGATCTGGCTAAGATTATTATTATTGACATGATCAGCTGAAGCGCTATCAGTGGTTAGCTGGCAGTAGGATAGACCACACAGATACTTTTGGTTTTGCAGCAATGTATTCAAGTGCTCGAGTGTCATGCCAAATTTTCGCTTTGCCTTAGTATAATTTATCGTAGCTGGTACCAGCTGGTACATAATTGCTAATATCGAGCATTTTCATGTCTGATGTAGCAATGCTCATGTAGCTGGGATTCTTGATGGCAGATTTAATGTTATCGGTACCAATAACGGCAAACAAATCCTTTTTAATCAAGTTATATTGTATCGATCAGAATTGAAACCGAATACTGGTACCTGATCAATCTGCTGTTTTAGCTCCCCGTAATCAGACCTTTGCTTACCAAAGCCAAGACTGCTATGAAAGTCAGAGAAGCTGGCATACTTTCCTTGTTCAATCCAACCCTCGACATCAGACATCTTGTAGATCTTACCAAGATTGACTCCTGGAATTTCCATACCTGTCAGACCGTGAGCGATGATGCTTTTCTGTAAAAGCGACTTGTACTTATTGACATTGTACTGCTTGATCTTCACGGATACACCACCGATGTATTTGAACATATCCATAAGTAGCATCTTCAGATCATCATTTACAAAGCAACGCGCCTCCTCGGTTAAACTATCAGCTACTGATACAGACATCGGGATGTGCTCGTTCGTGAAGACAGTATTTTCTCCGCGTTGAGTCGCGATAGGCTTAAGGATGGCCTCAAAGTCATACACGATGAAGTGATCGATGTACTGGTCAGCATTCTTGATTGAATACTTCGTAGGCAGTGATCGTATTGCGTTCTGAGCTGGTTTGTAGATAGTTGGCTCAGCTGGGAAGCTTCGATATTCACGAGTTCGCACTGATTCTTTTTGTGGTTTTTAAGGCTTTCAGCACTGACAAAAACCATGTCACACTTAGGACATTGATACTTAGCCTGAGGCATATCGATGTTCTTGGTGTAGAGAGCATGATTCTCGAACGATAAAATATCCATAGCTTCATACCCCTTGTCCGATCTACGAATGCATTCTACATTTCCAGAAACTGCATCCATCTTATATACGTTAATACCAAGTTGGAAGCGGTCTTCAACCTCATCGAGCTGCAGTAGGTTAATGTGCTTGAAACTCCTAAACAGGCTCAAAGAATATTTAATCCCCTTGAAAGAACAGTAACGCTTGAATGCCTCCTTCACCTGAGCCTGAATTCTTCGAGGACCCTTTTTAGGGCTCTGGAATGTATGCCAGGCGATACAGTAGAAGACGCACTTGTTGTTGGTCTTGGGAAAGTTGATCACATGCTTGTTTTCGCGAATAATCTTAGGGATGACAGCTTCGCTATCTCCGATAGAATGCTCGCGATGGTAGAGGAAAATCTTGAACGCAGTGATAGCCTTGAGCTTATATCCAGAGCTGGGGTAATTCAGTTTGTCAGCCAACTCCATAGAACGGATTTCCGAAATCACCTTCTTTTGAATATCAGCTTTGCTATTGATAGCGATAGGATTATTAAATACATTAGTATTAGCGAGATTTGGGTAGAAGTAGCGAGTGTCGTCAGGATCGGTCTTGCTGACAAGTTCGTACCCGAGAGCAATATGTATCTTAAACACACTCGTTTGAGTCGAAAGGACGTTCTCGAGCTTGTTGTAGAAATCAGAAGGCTCAACACCCTTGTACAAATGTGATTCCATGTGATTACCACTGTAAAAACGGTACTTAGGATCAGCCTTGTAGTCGGGCGACAAGTGTTTCTCAAGGGGTTTCAATCGAAACTTTGTACTACTTAGCTACTAATCTCTTGTTGATTAGACGAGAAACGTTGCTAATATAAACCATCTTGCCCGTTCTACCACGCACCTTAACACGGTAGCTACTACCCCATTTAATAGATTGGATATTTAATCTCTTTAATCCTTCGAGTTCGTATGCAAACATGTTGCCTATATATGCTTGGCTATATTATTCTCCGTAGATATGACTTTATAATTATTTGACTTTATATCTTAGTCATTTACAAAATATTTTGGATTTAATTCATTTAAATATTTGACGTATACCGTTTTGGAGGTTGTAAGCCATTGTCATTGACTATATTGGGATTGACTCTTTTTTTGAAAAAAAATAATATTTAATTATGTTCGGTTTCATTGTTAAGTTCACTTTCAGGTTCGCTAAGTTCGGTTTTGGCCTTACGCTTGCGAGCACGGATCTGCCGTCTATTCTTATCGTCGTAGCTCTTTTGGTATGACAAGCGAGTGTCGCGTGTGCGCTGATAATAGCACTTTTGTGCGGCCTTGATTCGCTCTTTGTTAGCAAGGTATTGTTCAGGTGAGTACATCATCAGTAGTATATTATTAATTTTATATTTATCAGATTTAAAAAATAAAAAATGAAAAACTGTCGGCATAATGTTCTATTTTTTTTATTCTTATGACATCCAAGATATCAAAAAGCGTTGTGTCTACTAACGTGAAAAACTTCACTTGAATTAACGGTTCGCACGGTTTGCTCTACGTCGAGCTCTAGCACTTTCAGCACGGTGCCATTCAGCATGAGCAACAAACGCACCGCATCTGTTGAATCGTTCTGTGCATCCATGCTCTGGGCAAGTCAAATCAACTTCTTCTTCCGATGACGATCCGGATTCCTGGTTCAACACATCGTCCAAATCTTCGCAATTAAGAGTGAAGCCAGGAAGAACGGTACCACCATCAAGATCTCTCCACGCGCTATTACCAAAGCGTCGAACAAGACGATTTCCTTGGGCGTATCACTTGTATTCGTACATGATTTTGTTCTTTGGATCAATGAGCCATCCCAATTGCACACCGTGAGGAAAGTACTCGATCCGCATCTTGTGATCGAGAGCATCAAGCTTGGAATGTGGACCAGTGAAAGTGTCGATTTCCACCACGAGCGTCGGAGCAAAAGGTTCTCCACCACGAGTCTATCCTTGAGCTTCGTTCAGCTGCCTTGCATCATCTCGAGGCACATACGCCACATCGGGGACCCGGAGCGTTGTGTCATCCAGCACGTATTCACCTTGCGCATTTGTCACTCTTCCACCATGGCCACTCCACGTAGCCCATTTCAGCAGCGCGTTGCAGATGTATGGTCCGATCACGCTGCGTCCGAACACCACCATCCGAAATGGAACAAATCGGCCTTCGTCGACGAAGAAGCAAGGCTGGTCGCCAAGTGTTGGATGGACCAACGGACCGATCTTCTTCACGTGCTGGTTTAGCTGCTCGAGGGACACGCCAGCGTAGTCCTTGACACGGCACAGAGTCTTCTTCGACTTTAGGTCACGCACCAGTCGCGCAAGCATGTCTTCGTGGTCTTTCTTCTTGCCGTTTGCTGCGGTCATGGTTGCCGATGTTGTTCTTTCTCGCAATGGCAGAGGCAAAACAAGAAAGACCTTGCCCAGTGAGGTCCACGCTACGAATGATTTGACTTGATTGATTGAATTGGTACTTCCACTAAATGATCAATTCAAATTTAATTCATCAGTGGACCGGTTCCCGCAGCCCACATCACCGTCTTTTTGAGTTAGATCTCCTCACAGTATCCTTAGCTTTTCGTAGCGTTTCTGAGCTTCACCATACGCTTGAGCAGCTGCCTCCGAGTCATCATGAAACCTTTGCAAATTATCGTCATGGTCGTATTTCTCGATACTTTGACGTCAGATATCATGAACAGACTTCAGTATCGCATTATTTAATGCTTCGAGGTTATCATCAAGGTTTTTACGCCTTTGTTCGTCCAGTTTCTTCTCTTTACGCAATTTAGCTGCTTCTTCAGCATTTGAAGGGAGTGGATATTCATCATTATCATTAAGATATTTCTCCAAATCCTCAATCCAACCAAGTAGTAATGTGAAGATATCCATCCACCTGATAGTTCTCATCAATCTCTTCCAAGCTGCACCACATACTTGCGTATGTCTTTTTATATTTATCTTCCGTCATGATATTTAAAGATTTGGATTCAGTTGGCTGACCAAAATAGTATGTTGGCTGAGGTATTACTCCATTTTCTATATCAACCACTGGTATTAGCCTGAAAGGTATTTCAATATCCTTTGAATGAAGTCGTGCGTAGTAACCAGTCAATATCCTTTTCGTATCATTGTCCGCGTTGCTCAGATTTTGATTTATCTCTTCATCGATGCCACTCAATGTTTCATGTCTTGCTTCCCCATCGACTGACGTAAATTTCTTGACGCCAATTACCTCGTCATTCTTACCTACCAGATCGTCTGCGACTTACACTGGGAATACATGTTCTTAGAACTTTTAATCACATACTAAGTACGATATTTTGGATGTTGTCCGAACGTTGACCCATTTACGTTACGCTCACGCAATTAATCCTGTTTGGGCTGTCCATTACTCATTCTGAGGTATTCCCAGTATTATTTGTAACTGATGTTCTCTGTCTCTGACCATACTTATAAATGAATGGAGCGTAAGTTGCCAATTCACCGTTTTTGTGAAAGCTGACTTAGACCAATCGCTTTCTTTTCCATAGACGCTAATTGAATTTCCATCAACCCAAACGTATCCATCATTATCAATTAGAGATGATTTGCTTGGTCCATTAAGAATACGGACAATCTTCTTTCTCAAACCATTGGATTCAAGTAAACCCTTATTTTTACTTATGATCCAAAACAGTTTGATTTTACTATCAGTTTGATCAGAAGTTGTGGAAGTAGATTATCAAAGAGAAAACTGTCTTCTTGATCCCCGTCCGATGTATTGACTCTTTTCCTCTTTGATCCATTATACTGCTCATATCTGTTTTATGTAATTTAGGAAACGAACGTCATTAGTTATAACCACACGAATATGGTCATATGCCTTTGACCAATTAATGCTTGAGACCAACCTTTGTTTAATATTAGAAGTCTTTGCATCTTTACCAATGTAATATTTCAGCAACCGCTTGTTTTGATCAATTCTGTTATTCGATTTCAGCGTCATTGTCTTCTAATTTTCCTAATGTAATTGCACATGGTTATGGTCAGTTGTTTGGATCGGTTTGATCGTATATATGATATGGACTTTATATAACTAAGATTCTTGGATCAATCGGCTTTATATATATATCATTTATTTTTTTTACCAATTCGTTTTCAGTGATCGAGCGGTTCAAAAACCTATCAAATATCAAAGAGGCTTTGCTTTCGATCAATCAATAGGTTGCGTCGTTGAAATCGCTGCTGTCCTGAAAGAAGGTTTCAGGAATGTTCTCGGTGGTAAATTACGGTAAGAAAAAAAACTGCCGGCGTAATGTTCTGTCGAAACCTTAAAAATGAACATTCAAAATCAAAATATATTAACACGGGCATTTATTCTCGACATGTAATAGTGCTGGGTACCAACAAATTCGTAGCAATATCCTCTGCGCTAGCAGCACAATATAATTCCACTTTCACTTTGTTAATCGTATCTCCACAATGTAGTATCCTCGTCATGATTTACTCGCTGCATCGAGGACTGTCGACACCAGTCGTTGAATCGATAATCCCAAGTCGAAATTTCAAAGCTGCAACCAGTCATTTGTTTTTCACAGTTACTGATCAACCACTGGGTCAACTCCCAGCTAGGTCCATACAATGTTGCGTCGGCAAAGCTACCAATTTCCACGCCTTTCGAGTGTAAATACAGCACAATTTCAAAGCGATCATGAGCGATAGCCTCCTTCATCGCAGAACGCACTTCGACCTCGCTACGGCTCTCGTAAATCCACTTTACAACCTCAATGTTACCACTGGCAGCTACTCTCGACAACGTACCCACTGAACAGCCTTCGGTGCGATTGCAGTGAAACCACTTTACCACACCCAAATGACCTCTCATAGCAGCAGCTGCCATTGCTATCGCTGTACAACCTTCGCTTCGGTTAGAATGGAGCCACTGTACTACATCCAAATGACCGTAACTGGCAGCCCAGTCCATCGCAGCGGGCGTACACCCTTCAGTTCTGTTTTCGTGAAGCCATCTCAACAGTTCGAGATGGCTACCACTAGCGGCATGACACATAGCTGCCTTCGTGCAGCCCTCACTCCGATGAGTGTGTAGCCATTGCACGATTTCTAAATGACCTCCACGAGCAGCTCCATCCATTGCTTCGGTTGAACATCCTTCACTACGATTCGTATGTAGCCACTGGACTACTTCCAGAAACCCATTCGCTGCTGCCTTGTCCATTGCTTGATACGTGCACCCTTCAGTTCGATAAATGTGAAGCCATTTGACGACAGCTAGATGGCCATTACCAGCTGCCCAAGTCATAGCTTTACTGCTACATCCTTCGTCACGGTTATCATGAAGCCACTTCACCACATCGAGATGACCATTCTTCGCAGCACTATCCATCGTCCAAACGTCACCCCGTGCGCAGTCCATACCGTGAAGCCACTGCACTACATTTAAATGCCCGTTTTCCGCCGCTCTTCTCATTGCTCCAGCAGTCAGTGGCACGTGCACCTCGTTGTGAAGCCATTTTACAGTTTCCAGGTGTCCGTTTGAAGCTGCAGCTAATAGTGTAGACGAACGTGGTTGCCCTAATTCTCGTGAGTGCGCATATTTCAAGAACGACAGCGCGCCACATGCAGCAGCGCCATCCCATTGTATTCGACGCACAGCGAGATCACAGTTCACAAGAATCCATCGAGCTGTCTCCCAATGACCCTCTTTTTGCGCATGAATGAGAGCGCCTTCAGCAGGAGCATAACACTCATTGTACAACCACTGAACTGCTGCAGTATTCCCCGTCTTCGCAGCAGATTGCATCACCAACTTTAAACATTCTGGACGAGGTGGTGAATGCTTCATAAGCCATTGCACGGTGTCGTCGTGACCATAATCTAGAGCTCCACACATCTCGATACAATTCCAGTAGATCCGTTCATAATGAAATTCGTGTAGCCACTGGAGAATCTCCACATGTCCATTGGCTGCAGCCGCATACACTACGGCCCCCATCCGTTCGTTCGGGAGATAAATCTCCATCAACCATTTAAGTGCAGGTAGATCTCCTTGAGTCGCAATAAACCACGAAGTCGCATTGAGCATCCAGCGTCGGTAGAACGGATCTAATGTATTAGCTGGAGCTCGAGCAGCAATGTGCTGAAGCAAACGCAGACTTCCTAACCGTTTGTAGCAACGAGCGAGAGACCATTTGGACGAAATTGTGTCTAGAAATGCATCTATTAGTCGTGCAATGTGCGGGAGGTCTTCATCAGGTAAACAGAAGCGAGTTACGACGCTTGCGGCGGTGAGGACGGGGAACTCGACGACGCCATCGGAGCTCATCGTGTCTGACGTTGTAAGCCCGATTACGATCTTTTTTTCAGCCAATCATTGAAAATGCAACATTAGAATTTGAGTTTTTTTTTTGACATGGAAGTTAGGAACACGTTTCTACAAAATCTGCCTCCTGTGTCTCTAAACGGAAATTTGGTCCTTTGCCAATGAAGTCATGACGTCAAGTGCCGGTAGTGCAGCACAAGCGGACCCTTTTGGCTCTGATGCTGCCAGATTGTCCGCTGGACGAATTGAACTGAAAGTTCTGGTCCCACGGTGGCACCCATGCACGCCATCTCGAACTGCACGTCGTCAGGCAGCTTCAAACGTTTGTAGATTAATTTGCGCAGCTCGGACATCTATAGATTAATAAAACGACAGGTTACTTCATAAATTTGGTGCGATCTAGAACCGCGATGCTGCTTGCGTACCTTGAAATTGCCGTTCACCTGCATAAAAGGGAATTTAAGCTCTGGCAGTGCGTTGGCATTTCTACAAAAATCAAACGATCAGCTACCACCCAAACGCGCTGATCGAAAAATGTGACAGTGATACGTACGTGTGCTGCGGATAGACTTCAATTGTGAACTGTTTGGTGCACGAAATGCTGCCTCCATTGGTGCTAGCTTTGACACCATGTGACTTTGTCGAGTTCTTTGATCGTCCACGAGAGGATGGAGTCCCCGGTGTAGATGATGATCCGTTGACTCCATCTCCGTGTTCTGTCATATCCGGCTTGAGCTTGAAGTTGTTCTTGGCGTAGAATTCCTTCTCCAGTATCAATTCCTGCTCCTTAAACTCTGGGAAAATTCGGTCAACCACTGCCTGTAACTTTTGATCCGTGCTGCCAGCAGCACAACGAAAATGAGTAATGAAGAGTCACAACCTCAAACTTTTCACATTTGAGCAGTGGTACCTACATCAACGTAGCAATTGGTCGAGGGCTCAGCATTTTGTCGCATTTGGGGCAAATACAACTGCCTTTCACGAGGAAATGCCGATAGATGCAGCTCTTGCAGACTGTCGCAATACACAAAATATCGTCAGCACTGCACTGCCAACCGGTTGGTGATAAACCAACAGCATACAGGAATGAAGACAGTCGGGGATGGTGTGAGCGTCGCGCAAAATTCCGTGGCACAGCGCACAGCCCAAGTGCTCCGTCAACTCTGCCAGCCTCACTGCCATCTACAGAACGCCACAAACACGACAGAGACGAGCTGTCAATGCATGGCTGCCGGCGTACAAAGTGTCATGTTCGTACCGTCCGCGCATCCAATGCCATTGCTCCTCGCGCCAAATGGCTTATCTGAGACCGAATTTTGTAAACTCGAATTGTGAGTCCATCGAATTTGGTCGGACCTTTTATTGAATCGACCAAATTTGAAGGGACCAAACAAGGACTAAAATTGAGATCATCAATTTTTGATTGGATATTTTGGACGAAATTCGATGCGTAATTACCAAATTGCTAATTGAGACCAAAAAGCAAACCAAATCAAGTTTTGGTCTCACGCAGCGAAAGTGATGATCAAGGGGTTGTTCTACAGCGAGTTCGACAACGTTGCGGGGCCTGTGATTCTCTTCCAGGCACCAGAAAAGTGTGTTGTGCACCTCTTTAGCGTAACATTGATAACCCACTGCTGCTAACGCTCTTTAATGTGCCCACAGTGTGCTGAGCAACGAGGTTTTTGACAGTGTGTCTGGCTACATTATCATTGACAAGGCTCTATGTGGAAAGATCATCACCGGTGGACGCAAATGTTATTGTGAACTTGAGTGTTATCATTGTACTTATGGCTCTATTGTATGGTGGCAGTTCGAGCGCAGCAAATGAAGATCGTTGGGTACCCTGTGTGCATCGAGGACGACAAGTATCACCGTAACGCGCTCTTATTTAACATTGGTACGCCCTTGCGCAGCATCAACCGGAACTTTTATACTAAAGACTAATAATATTTTGAATACGATGCAGGTTTTGTGTTCGACGAGCTCGTAGAGACGGCACCATACCGACCAATTCTGCGAAAGGTTGGACGGTGGAGAAGTTTTCATAGTATCATGCTACACCGATGATAACCTTTGTGGTTGTTATAACTGCAGTTAGGAGCTTTGGTGGAGGGAATGGAGAAAGAAAGTGGATTCCTGTACAATGCAGACAAGAAGGAGCTCTTGGGGACAATCCTGCCTCAGATTTTGAGAGATTTGACGCTGCATGGCGAGTGCACTATTCCAGTGGACACTGCGAATATTGTCAACTTGAAGCTATTTCCGACGTTGCAAGACCCAGCACCTGTGTTTGAATACCAAGTGCCAGTTGCAATTCGAGACCTTCGTGCTCTACTCGAAAACAGTGGTGCGTTTTTGGGCCGACGTCTCTAGACTCCATCGTCTTGTGAAGTATTCAGGCACTTATTTTATTCATAACTTTTGCAACAGCAGAATGGGATTTGGCGTTGCAACAGATCGTTCCATTCATCGATGGGGTCCGATACGTGAAGCGCATTAGCTTGGAAGCTGATGTAGAGATTGCAATCGTCAAGAAGTGCGTCCGTCAGCTTCTGTACTACGGTTGCGTCACCCTGATCGATATCTTCCTGCATTCCAACATCTACGCCAACACTCCGAAGATTGCCGTGCTAGCAAATGATCCCAAACTACAAGCCGAGTGTGCTGTATACATCTCGAAATCCGGCCATGCTCCGCCATCATTCGCTCGGATTTTCGCGTTGTATTGCTCGGTCCAACCCAGTCTGCGTATGAGCGACTTCTGCGTCGTGTACTCCGAATCGCTCACGTTCATCGATGTTCGACGATTTATCACGTTCGGACTCATCCATGGCTTCTTGAGACGCGTGCATCGGTATCCTATCTGCATCGACCGCAACTTGCCTGGTTCCAGTCCGCCGCAACAGCAACAAACCCAGCAGCCACAGCAACAGCCACAGCAGCAGCAAGGAGGCCAGCAAAAAGGTCGGCCTTACGCATTGTCGACGAATTCCCCGTCATTATCTGGGATGAACCCCATCAGCGCTGCTCCTACATCAACTCAACCCGGAGGAGTGGGAGCGAATGGCGTGAGTGGGAACGGTGCTGGTGCCTCCAATGGAGCTGGAGGCAATGTGGCTTCACTGACGTCCTCTAAACGAGCACTGGTGAGCAAGGCCAATCAACTGGAGAAAGACGTGCTTCGAATGATGGACGGTGGTCACCACACGGACGAAATCTGCAGCAAATTCTTGTTGCGCTACACCGATGTGGAGTCCACCATTCAGATGACACCCAACTGCTTTGCAGTTCACAAGTGAGATCATCAAACTGTAATATAATACACCTGGAGAGGCAGCATGAAAAAAAATCGACATCATCATATTTAAATTTCTCCCATGACGGACACACGGAACAGATAAGAGCCTGGTGTCTAGTTTACTCCATCCAGAAGCCTGAGATCTCCATGTTCATCACAAGCGTCAGGTAGTTGACCATTTCTTCCTTGTTGTGATAGAGTGGCAGGTCGATTCGGTTGAAACATGTGTGGCCCTTAGGCATTAGACCCGTAGGAGGGGCACCACGTTGTACGAACTGGATGGTAAATCGTCGGACACGACCGTCACTGCTCATGAGCGCCTTAAAGCCCTGAACGGGTACGCGTGACGTACCAGTTGCGAATTGCAGCAATCGAGCGCGTTCTTCGCTCGTAAATTCCCGCATACACTCCCAGAACCATCGAAGTACACGGTGTTCAACAGGAGTTGGTTTCTCGAGCTTAATCCAGCGAACTTCACTGTGTGTATGCCAGTCATTCACGTCGAGCTCGGGAACACCAGACAACAACAGATCGAACTCCTGGTAATCGAAGACAGTGATCAAGAACTGCGGCATGACGTCGTAGAAGCCCATAAGCAGAGCACCCAGTTGCTCTGAAATACTCTCGAACATGTAATGTTTAAGTAGCAGTTCCAGATACTCCTTCTTGTTCTCGTCCGTTACGTCACGGTCTGCTCCACCTGGTACAAGCTCAACGGTGTGGGACTTGCCCTCTGAGGTAATCACCTGCACCGTAAAGTCGATCGCAAGTAACTCAGCGTGGTCGTTCTGCTTCATCCACATGGCATTCTTGTACAGATCTTCGTCCAGGAATTCCAAGTCCGAGAACGAGATAGGTACACCCAGAATATGCTTAATCAGCGGCAGTGCAAGCGACATCTTCATGTTGTAGCCTTCAATCAGTGCCTTGGCCAATAATCGACCGACGAATTCGTAGTATTCCAAGTGGTTCGGCACTTTAGAGGCTGACGCGGGGTTGATCCAGTAGCCCATGTTCTCTCCTTTCGTCGATATGAACAGACCAAAGTCATCGTTAAAGAGCGAGTCACTCAGAATCTCGTACCACTCGCGAATCAAACCACCAGCATCCAGTCCAGGCTCGTTCTCGAAGTAGATACGTAGACGTTCCCAGAATCGACTGGGCGGACATTTGAGCATTTGCTCCAGCGAATCGCTCACTACATGTTCACGTCTTACGACGAATTGGATGTGGCCTTCTTCGTAACTTCGCCAGCGCTTCTGTACCTGCTCAAGGAACCAGCGGTTCTTATCGTGGAATGTCAGCGACGCAATCTCCTCTAGATCGTCTTCGCAATCCATGCGACGACTGGTGTCTGTGAACGCAATAATCGTTCCAGCAGGAGTCCACTCGTATCCTCCTGCGCCATCCTCGTGCCGTACGTAGCCGGTAGACACATTCGACATGACTGTATCGTTTGACTCAAGGAAGCGACGGTCTTCTACACCGCCTGGTCCTCCAATTTCTGGAATTGGTCCTCCACCCATTGTACCTTCCCGGTCTTCACTAATCTGGTTTAAGCCACGTGAACTAGCAAGGCCACGAGTACTCGCGAACGGGTTGACTGTACTACCCGAAAACGGGTTTCTGCTGCTACCATTCGGGTTGAACGGGTTCGCACCGCTATTGGCAGGATTGAACGGGTTCTGCTGTGAGTAGAAAGCCATGGTCGGACGCTCTTCCGCTTCTTCTAGACGTTGCAACGCCGTCGCACGCAGTGGCTGAAAGGACGGACGACCCAGGTCGTTATTAGCTGATAAAAACGAGCTGTCGGGGTGTCGACCTTCATTCTCAGGGACACCAAAATCCCGCAATGCAAGTGCAATGTGCTCGTTGTCTTCCCTCAATGAGGACGACGACGAGACTCGACTCGTGCTGGATGTCCGCGGGAACTCGTCTCCTCCTAAGATGGCCGTACCATTAGGAGGCGTGCTAAGTCCACTGTACATTGTTTCACTCCTGTTTTCCTTGTTCTCTGTGTCGTCTTCTTCGTGCTTTGCGTCAATCCGTACCCAACGCATAACGCCGTCTTTACCACGCTTCCTCTTCCAGAGATGCCGACGCACAGCCGCTTTCTGCCTGGACGTGAGGTCCATTTGCTTGAGTCTTCGCACGTGGAAGCTGCGTACACGTGACTGCTGGTTGAGCATACTCTGACTAAAGTCCTGTTTGTGGAGCCCCGAAGCCCGAGCCAGATTCGACGGCGTCGTGGCTGTGACGATGCGTGGAGTGCCGCACATGACGCAGCTCGTCTTGTCCGGGTGGTTGTCGTGGAAGCAGATGGAGCAGGGCCATTCCTCCTCTCCGCGCTGTAGGAAACTGTCCACAAGATGATGCCGCATCATGTTGTTGTTCTGGTTATCTCTCGCTAGGAATCGCTCGATCTTGCGCGCGTAGCTCCAGTAGTACCAGATGGAGCCGCATAATATCAATAACGCCAACACCAGGAACACATACACCAGCGCCGCCATGCCGGGACTCAGCTCCTGCCCGAAGATGGCCGTCATTCTGCTACCGATTCGACTGTCGGTAAAGTGTCCCCTCTGTACCAATTTGCAGAATGGGAAGACAGGCGTCGCTTTCTATGATGGAAAAGAGAGGCGCGTACAGACTGACTCTTCAGACTTTTGACCAATAAGAATGAGCTATGGGGTGCTGTTTTGGCCACTGACAATTGCGGAAAGGTAGCCGGAGGGCTACGCAGTGATGTCGGTACTCTGTCGAGCGGACACTGCGTTCAATTTCTAGGGATAGCAATAGGTAACAGCGTGTTACGTCCAGGGGCACGAACCAAGCAGTCTGAGGCGAGAATCGAATGCATTATCTGGACTGCGTCCGTCAAATATGACTTGCTACAGTCTGGACTCCAGTAAAAACAGGACCAGTGTGTTGGTCTTCCGCACGGAGCATGGTGGGAAGAAGCATGATCAGGGCTGTCCGAGACGATGGGAACGGCATCATGCTTTTGGTTGGAGCAGCCCTGTCGATTACGATTTCGCCGCCGTGCCCAGCCGGACGTTTTGTGATCTCGAAGCGTGTGCAACCCAGCCAAAAATTGAAAGTGCGTTACCGGTACATGTACTCCTGACTACGTGTGAGCTTGGGCTGTACACCGTGGCGACCATGAGTGTTCCTTTCCTATACCAGGCGGATGTGATGTACTTCTAATAATCATATTTTCAAGCCTTGATGGGCTAAAGAGTTGAAGGGAAGTGTCCAGGATAAGCAAAGCCGCCGTCTTTTCTGAAATTTTTGAGGCGACGGTGAGGCGTCTAAGCTAGACACTTAATAAGACTCTAAGGGGTCTGCTGATAGGGCGTATGATACGCTACCTGAGCTGGACGATTTTGTATGGGTCAGGTTCAGATATTATCGCCATTGCAGCAATAGAGAGAATCCTGGAGAGGATCCATCCATGAAGCTGGAGGAATGTGCATGTTAAACACTGTTTAATAAACAGTGCGGGTTTTGATGGACAGCGTGATTGTTGCAGTCTTCCTGCAGCTTTGTTTGCGCCGCAGTGGTGCCCAGTTTTTGAAAAAAAAAAACTTTTCGCGCTGTTCCAATCGGTATACCACACCAAATGACCACCACATTTACGTTCACCACACAGCAAGCTTGTCAAGCCATGAGCACCATCGTCGGACGCCTGCAGGCGCGCGTGCAGCGTTGGCACCTGCTAGGGCGCTACTACGTCAACAAGTGGCACTACGATGGATCAAAATGGGCGGAGAGGGTGTGGTACGGCCAGGGAAGCACGGGAAACGGCCCGCAAGTGGCCTCTGTAGCCTTTATGATCACGCGCAGCATGCGGCAGCAGTTATTGGGCGCGGGTTTTCCTCCTTCGGCCATCTCGACGCTGCAACCGGCCGCGGCACAGAAGATCATCGCCGACAAAATCACATTTGTGCAGTTTGAGGAGCTACAGAAGCAGCAACATGTGGAGGAGGCAGCAGAGAGCGCCAAAGAGGCGTTGAAGCAGGAGGAGCAGAGCGCACTGGTGGCGGCGAAGGAGAAGCAGGAATCAGAGCACGAACACGAGCCAGCTGTACCCTCGGTAGCGTTGGTTGTACAGCAAGAGAAAGTAGAGGGCGAGGAAGTAAAAAAGTCGCAAAGTTGATTGATGAATGCAACAGTAGTGAAAGCATTTGTCTAAAGCAGTCGAAAGCACACTAACATGTTTGAGTGTACAACGTCATTTATTGCAACGCATGGCACAATCATCGGTTCATCTGCGAATACCAACAGCATGCGAGAAAAGCGTCACACCTGGTTGTATGCGGTCGACGGGTCCACATTCGCTCTAAAATCGACGTTCGGTCTGCTTCATCAAGCGTCTTTACTGCCATCTCCGTCGCGGTGTATCTTCAAACTACTATCGCTCCTGGGCGCGTAAGCCGTTTCACCACTTGACCGATGCCTTGATCTTGGTCAGCATCTCGTCGAACGGGGTGAGAGCTACGACCATCGCCAGCTGCACTCCCCACCACAGCGCGCAGAAGACGGATCCATACACGACGCGAGACCCTGTCCTCTCTGTGAAGTAGATCCACAGTGCCGAGGCGATTACGTAGAGCAGTGTGAGTAGCCAATAGCCGCGGTAGAAGTCGCGGCGTAGATCATCATACTGTGAGCTTTTGTGCCATTTGGAGCGGTGCATTGATGCCAACATGCCATGCTCCAGTGCCTGTGTCGTCATGGCCGACACCAGCACGATGGCAGTTAAGGTCGTGAGGGCCACAGCTGCCGGAGCGAGGTGCAGCGCCAACGCCAGCACCTGCAGCACAAGCCACGAGACCAGTTGTAGGGCTGGCAACAACAGCGCCATCTTGGATAAATAATTCAAATTGGTGTTTGAGACACAGTATTGTGAGGCATCGTACTTAATCGCAAAGTATTATTTCTCATGCAAGACAAGTCAAAAGATAATAGAGAACTTTAGTTCGTGGCTATAGGTTACACGTGTATTGGGTTCAGGACTACCTGGAACGGTTTAAGTTGCAAAAACCAACCAAGAAGAGTGACAGAACAAACGAACGGCGTCAAGTCGCGTCTTATATGTTTCCAAAAGGCTTCTATAGCGAAAAGATAAAAAATCAAATAGAAGGCCATTTTACTACTACGTGTATTGTGTTCAATCTGACGTGGATCCAGTTAGTTAGTTAGTGCCTGTACATGTTCGGAGTCAGATGTATAAGTTGGCATTCTACAGGTGGCGTGTGCTAAAGGTACAACGTCTCGGAGATTGAATTGAATGTCCGAGTCGGACCTTGATCCTGGATTAACTCGAGATTTTGGAACATCGTCCGATAGTATGCGTTTCTGGTCCGAATAAAGCTGGTGGAACCGTCGACGACACTCATTTTATTTAAAACCTGGTACGAAAGCCCATGGGTTTCGTTTACCGGCTTAACCGAACGATATTCAATTTATCCAGATGGTCGACAAATTTGGCTTCTTTTCTCGTTGACACACCTAATTTGTTGTCTGCGGGCGCCGGTAACACCAGATATGAAAGCAATAGGTAAATATGTGGTGAAATAGTGAATATTAATGCAATGCATTTTTTTAGCTTATGGAATTGTCATTACTCTAGACCAACAATGCAACTATGTACGGATCACCGAGGCTAAGAATTTCTGAACATTAACTTCTACGGAAAATGCCGTGCAAATCAGGTGGTTTGTATGGAATTCTTCGTACAGACTGAACGAAGAATTCCTTAAATGCAAAAATGTCAGGTATACTAAGCGTAAGATAAAACCTTGAAATGCAATCATTCACATGAATTCATCGTGCATTTTCCACGAAGCGTTTCAAAGCGCTTCATTCAGTTAATAGAAACGACTGTTAACATCTTCTCGTAGCGTTGTCTGTAACTTAAGCTATCTAGGTAATGTCTTCCAGGACAAATACTCTAACCTTCGCTCTCTTCCTTTGATAGAGGAGGTTGAGCAAGGAAGACGGTGTTTTATCTGCGTGTACATCAGACCAGCAGCGCTGGTGGAGGCATAAACTCACCGAATATCTTCTTGCGATAACAGGACCTCGCCAACAAGCATCAGGCGTTGGCCAGTCGGACTTCTTAACGCGGGTAGCCATATCGTGTTTCCCCAGCAATCGTAATGGCGGATTCCCTGCACAACAGTGCTGCCATATCACCTGAATCCTTCCTGCTGGGAACGTAACTCCCCCAGCAACCCTGTGAAAGCTACCTCCCCATAGCTGAAGGTCTATCTTGGACGTGGCTGTTGATTTGGCGCCAATGCTGTAATGAGGCGTCTGTCTCGCGCCTTGATCTCCAAGTGCCAAGTTCGACCGCGAATTGGCCGATGCAAAAGCCATTTCTACAGACTCTATGGTCATCACAGAGCCATGCACATGCGTTATCATAATTGTTTCGAACATTCCAGCAAGTCCCTCTCTCATTTCATCAATTCCCGCCTTGTACTGCGATAAGGTAACCATAATTCCTACATGGGGAGGAATTCCCGTTGGACTGATAGGATCATTAACTCGGAAAATAAGACGCACAAACCGTTTTTGGAGCCACTCAAACAGTGGCGGGTTTTGTGTTGCATATAGAGAGGTAGAAAACAACACTTGAGTTAATGGCAGCTGCTCACTCAGGAAATCTTTGTGATAAAGTATGGAAGCCAGCCCAAATTGGCAAACCATTCGCAGCGATGAGGGTACACCCGGAAATACAGTCGTTATTACAGCACGAAGCCGCTGCTGTAAATCTAATAACTTATCTTCATCATTGCTTAGAGGTGCAAAGAATGATGGCAAAATAGCAAATTCTGGTGAATCAATTGGGAGACCAGTAACATACCGCCCAACTACCATATAGCCGGCAGCTTCGGATCTTACATACTTGTCCTGAGCGTCTGGCAGGGTCTAACCAGCCCTAAGACTAATTGAGGCAGCTGAGGGGCCAGAAGTAGAGCAGCTACTAACGTACGTCGCGGCACCTTTTTCTAGCAGTATGCGTTCCAAAGTCTTTTGTAGTCATTCAATTTGCGACCAATACATCTTCGACTACCTGTGTGCCTAATACACGTTTTAGCAACTTGAGAAAGCGACTATATTGGTTTCCACCAGGATACAGCTTGCCATTACTAGCAAATCCAAGAACCGCAAAATACATTCCAAAACTTAACACAGGACAGATCTCGGGCATTAGAGGGTTGGCGTATACGTGTCGAGGGTCTCAGGGACGACTATCATCTCGATCGTTTTTCATGTGGGCAAATGTTATAGCCACCGAGTCTTCACTTCACGAAAGATGGGCATGCCTAATCGATTCTGTGCTTTTTGCTCGACGCATCAAAATCCAAAACAAAAAACCCAACAAAAATGATATGCCGAATATATCCTATTTTGCTGGACTGGATCAGTGCTTCTGCAACAACTCTGTACATCGAGAACGAAAAGGGACTCCTTGCCCTCGAGAAGGCGTTCATTGCTGCCTTGGGTTACTTGTGCTACCGTATGGTAAAGTCCTTTGAAGAATCTCCTCATGTGAGTGTCAAAGTCCGAAAGTCGAGGAAGTTCTGTCATAGAGTACAAATACACCAACGCAGAGCGAATATTGCCAAAAGTTGATTTCCCCGAGACACCTCGCTGCTCCATCGAAGTAAGGTATCGCATGCAGTCCTTAGTAGTTCGTACACTAAGGTCGATTGGACTTGTAAGAGGCACTCGGTCAAACCACTGAGTAATTGTGTCGTTGTTAGTCTGTTCAAGCTCAAAAATGATCGCGTGAAGAGCACCACACGATGACTGTCATCTGTATGACCATATAACCAATCCACAAAGCGAGCCAGCGCGCGAATGGACACGTACTTGGTAGCACGAGCTGTAGTATTCCCCCAAACTTCCCCGGCTCGAGCGTCTAGAGCTTCCATTGCGACTGTTTATCAATACAATCGTTTCTAACATCTTTAGAAATATTTTCTAAATTAGGCTTCGTTAATTCTGCACGACAAATTCCATTTATCTATACAGTCTGCGAGGCATTTAACTCCCACAAGTGTGCTGCACGAAGAACCTTGGGACATCTGACTCCGGGCAGGAGACGGGTGCGGAGCGGCGCAGCACGATACGCCTCCCTCCATTTCCTCTCCGGTCTTGGTCGGTGGGAGGGGGCGGGGGTTCTTTTGAATATAAAAGGACTAGCTCATTTCAAATGTAAGCCACTATACTTATAGTGTGAACGAGCTATAGCGTATGACAGATCCAATAATAGTATCTCAGAAATATTCTAGCGAGGGTAACCGTCATGACAAGAGGCAACCTCAACAGCCTCACTGTCTCTTTTAATGGTAGATGATAATTCTGAAATATCCAATATTACAGGTCGACTGAAAATACTTTAATATTAGTGTCAGTCCGAAATTGGAAACCAGGAGGAAGCCCGTGTTACTTGCTTACATTAGCACTCTCAGTCTTGTTGTTGGTGAAGGGGGCCATGTGGGCACGCCTGATGGGTAAGATCTGGAAGGCAGGGGTCACGAAGGGCGCTGCGCTGCATCCTGAGGCGCCAAACAGGAAGTAAAGCCGCAAACCAAGGAAGGCGGCGGTGATCCGTGCTGCCAAGCAAGCCAGAGCAGGTCGCCGTGCAGCGACCGAGAGAGTAGACACTACGGCAACTCCAATGAACATCAGCGGCAATGGGAGTGCGGCCACGGGGGCCAATGGAAGCGGAGCCGTGGGGCCGAGCGCACAGGGGTCGGAATCTACCGTCGTAGTGGCATCACGGTCATGTGATGTCGCTAATGGGGGGAATACAGTGAAACTTTGAGAGCCAGCTCTGTTGAGGCCTGGGTATGCCGCATATGTACCTTTATGAACTGTGAGAGCATCAACCGATGCACGAGCTGCAAGTGCGATCGGGCAGATATCATCATTGACCGGGTGCCCAATAACACGCTCACCAAAGTCATTGGTCTGGTCTTCGATGCCGTCGTGTCTGAAACAACAATGTTGCTACCGATCGTGTGTCTAGTGCCACCGACTATACGGATGTTGCAACTGAGCGACCGTCCACTGTCACTGACAGCAAGTATACAGCCACTGACAGAAAGGCTGCTGCCACCAACCGAAAGTCTGCTAGCACTGGCCGACGGGCTACTGGCATCGACCAGATGCGTTACCCAATATGTGGAGATTACTACTCTGGTCGAGACGTCACTGTTGGTCGCAAATTTGCGACAGCTGTTGAAACGTGGCAAGTAGCGTACATCAACGACAGACGTGAGTCGCCAGCCCTTGAATATGTAACACGATATGCAGTTGCACGGGGTGTTGTGCAGCACACGGCTGAATGAGTAGCGAGCTTCCTGATGGAGGACGTAGTGCTGAAGTCCGGAGCCTTCCGGACTATTGACAGATGGTGCGAGAAATGACGGGACGAGTGATCGAGCAGTTAGTCGTACTGCTCCAAGCGAAGCAAAGGAATTCGACCCCTTATCGGCCGCAGATGATAGATCTGGTGGAGTGCTACCACAGAACGTGGAGAGAATGCGTTTCAACATTCATGGCGGACGAACGTCAAAACGACTGGTGTGCTTGGGCGAAATACGTGGTGTTCGCGCACAACTCCGCTCAACACTCGACGGTGGTGTTGAGCCCCAACGTATTGATGATGGGTCGAAGACTGAGACCTCCGAACGAACTGTTGCGAGAAACGGAGCTTACTGAACCCGGTGATCTAATGGATTACCATCGCCAATTGATGGTAGCGATGGAACGAGGGTGTGAATGTGAAGAGCGTGCACAACGGAAGGAACAAGCGCGTCAAGTCTACTACTATGGTCGCAAAAGTCAAACAACGACGAACATTTCACCTGCATTCAGGCGGGGGACGCCGAAGGCTTGGGTGAACGAAGGAGGCAAACGTACACAGAGGAATCACTCGTGAGTGGTTTTGTATTGATTGTTATTGAACG